ATTGTAATACATCTTTCTTGTAGGTCCAATGGAAACCAAATTGGTCAAGGCAGATCCATACCCCATCCGCACTAAAAGATTTCTATGGTCGCGCCACAGTGTTAGGATGCGTGGTGAAGGCAAGTTATTCAAGTATTTCGTTACTGTGCATGTGTAATTTTTGCTCTATCAAGCTATTTCGTTTTAGAACGAAGTTTTGCGATCAAGAGTTCGTCGAAAGATTGAATGGAACCGAAGAGAATTTATGAGTTGCAATTTTCGTGTTCGCATTGAACATCCAGATGGATCTGTCACATCTGAAGTTAGTCTTTAATTCTTTTCTGGAGTACTCCTTCTACACAGAGTGGTTTACAAGCTCTGATAGGTAGCTTATAGTTTTATTTATTCATTTACTAGGTAATGCCCTATCCCGACGTGAAGCGCCGATTTCCTGCAGCGTTGTTTGAATTCATGGAAAATAGGATGCCGCCACCTCGTGTACCTGAGAAGGATGAACCACGGCGTGATGGGTTGCTTCCAGTCTATAATAATGTACGACTATCTACAGTTTTTGCATAAGTGAACAACCTTATAGTAAGTTCTTTTTTATTTTCAGATTAATATTCCGCGCTGTTTGTACTTGAACAAAGGTGTTACTAAGGCGGAGAAGAAGGCTGAAATGGAAGCGACCACGGATATTCAGAATTCTTCTACGAATGATGTTGGGAATCTACCTGCTGCAAAGCAAGAAGTATCCCCGTCACGTTCGCCTAAGGATAGACTTGCTCTGGCGCAAGTGACAAAGGATCACCTCTCAAGGAGGCCGCTGTCAAAGTCAAAGGAGGCAAAAAGCAGAGTGCTTATCGTCGTTTTGGGAAAAGAATTAAACGGCGTCGCAATCGAAGCTTGAAAATCAGTAGAAATAGTGAAGAATCATCATCGACCAGTGTGCAGAAGCCGTTGAATGAAGTTTCGAATGCTACCGAATTAGAAACGAAAAACGCTCAGATGAAGATTACAATGCCTCCCGGGATCTCTACGGCTTGTGCAGAAGAGTTCCTACAAAAAGTTCGTAGTACTCGCCGTTCTGGAGCTACTTCATCTCAGAAGACGGCGAAATCATCAAGTATTTCTTCGAAACGTCCAAATGGGAAGCGGCAGTCCATGCCCACCAATACGGACGATGAAGACATTGTAGTGATTGCAGGTCTGTACTCTTCCTATGTTCCGGTGGTGCTTATGGTAATCCTTCTTCTTCAGAAATCACCCCTGGCAGTGCTGGAAGCAGATCTCGTCTTTCTCTTTCTAGTAGCAGATCATCGCGCTCCGCTTCGACTCCTAAATCGTCAGTCAGAACGCGTCTGAATGGGAAGAAAAGTCCTGCCACGAAGGAAAATCATAGTGGTGAGTCATTGGGATTTTTGTGGCAAAGCAATCTCTGACTTGTTCAAATTTACCCTTTCACCAAAGTGGTTATGGTTCAGAATTGTTTGTTTTCAGGTACAAATGTGCACACAGACTCCAAATCTCAGCAAAGAACGATGAGTGTTAAACGTCGGCGGCGTTCAAGCAATGACGGAAAATCGCTTAGGTAGTTGTATTCGAATCCTCGTTCATAACGATGAATAACCAATTATTTTTTTCAATGGTAACTTGATAAAATATTCCTTTTAAATAGCATTTTCAGTTGTAAACGCAGTACACCACTCCGCCCTCGAAATTCATTGGAAAACTACTTTAACTGCAGTGTTCGCAAAACCCGCGAAGTACTCGGTAATGCTGCTAACCAACAGAATATAAGTGCTAGGTAAGATTCTTTCACTGTTCATATGAATTCTCAAATTTTGATTACTATTTATTTCGATCGTGAACGTCGTTGTGGTGCTGTGTGTAGAACCCGGTGATTCTTTTTCGATTCGTTTCTACAGGGTGTCCCATAAATATTGCACCACTTTTCTTTACTTGTAACTTCTTTCAAAATGGATGTATCTTCAAGAGGTTTTACAAAATTTTAGCAATACATTTACATATTGAAAGGAATGACATTCATTGGATATGCTCCCCTGTTGTTGTGAGTATGGCTCCCAATTGCTTCGAACGCAACTCTACTGTGGCCCGCATGGCATCCTGGGGTGTTCTCTTCGAAACTTTGCAGAGAAAAGGCTCCGGCTCATCCATGTGGATGCAATGTTTAGTGCAGGCTCTGCCCCTAACATAGCCCACATAGGATGGTCCAGCACGCTGAAATCAAGGGATAGGAGAGCCATTCGTTTGAGGATGTGAAATCGGAAAGAGTGCCTTAACAGCGCTCCTGAACAATTTTTGCCTCCTATGCAGAAGCTGGGTCCTATTGAAAAGATCATCACCCCTCCTCAAAGTGGCTAGATACCTCAGTAACAGATGGTGCACCGAAATGTCCCTTGGCTCGGTCTAGTATCAAGTTGTATTCCTTTGTAAACAGGCAGTGATGGTGAGCGACCGGTAGTTGAGACCCCCGTCCAGACCATGATAAGGTTCGGCTGCTGCTTGTGGCGAATATTCCTTTCACTCTCACTGACTTCCTCAAGACCTCATGCGGGCATCCTCGGAGTTTGAAGATTGTAGCTCCGCTCCATGTGAGGAATTTTGTCGTCGATGAAAACGTGCCCGCGTAATCGCCATTTTCGGCCCTCGACACCAGCTCTTTGAACTTTTTGTCTCTGCTGTGCTCCTCCCGTTGGATTGAGCAGTGGTGCTTATGCAACTTATAATGGACTGTGAGCAGTTGTTATCCGACCACTCTCTACATGGCTGTGTTTAGAAACTCCAGCGTTCTTGGTCACCTTTCTCGAGCCAACTCGGGTGTTGCCTCATGCTTTTCCCGAGATCCAAGTTGAAATTGTCGGGCGGCCACAACAAAGACTACTTTTATTGGTTTTCTCTTTAGTGCACGATAGGCCGCGGAGCGGTTGAAAGTCCAAAGAAGCGCGATGACGTGCCCTATCTAGCTGTGTGAGAGGTTAGGCACTCCATTGGAGTTTAGGCGCACCATGAGATGCAGGCGAACGGTAAGCCGTGGAATTTGGCATGGTCATTGACAAGAGGATAGAGGATTGAAAGGTCTGCCAATCTCGGAAGAAAAGCTATAAACACCTACAGAATTTGGGCTCAAAATTTGGTGCAATATTTATGGGACAGCCTGTAGTTAGAATGTGGAGTAGATACGTATCAAGTATGCGATCGTGCGATCGCACATTCGCACGATTGTATACTCTATTCTGCGGAACAACGCAAAGTCGCAATGTATGACTTGATCCCCAGGGCTAAGCCCAGGGCCCGACATATTGTATTACATTGCCGGGGTGGACGTTTGCGCTGCGACCTTCCCCCTCCCTTCCCACCTGCGCCAGTTTGTTTTTTACGGTAGAGCATGTGAAAGTCTTCCCAGAGTTTCCGGTGAAGAAAAAGACTGGTTTTGAACTGATACATCAAAAATTACCATTTCGTGTTGGTAGGCCTTAGAAATCTACGGTTATCTGATACGTGACAACTATTGACTTTTCACTTAATCGGGGAGAACAAGTTACGAATATCCTATAGTTAAGTGTCCCGGATGTTTTCTGATTTCAGGTGCTAATCGGAAAAACACAGCTCAGAGCTCCAATACTCGTCAAACCTTTGAGAATCCTCGCAGAAATTTCAATCAAAATTTGAATCGATAGCACTACAGACGTTTGGTTTGTTATTTACAACTTTACTTATGCGAGGTGTTGACATCAACATCCGTACTCTTGCATTTTTTTTGCGAATCAAGTTCAACAAATAATAGCAGAAAGGGATTCTTTATGTTGATGTTTCGTAAGATGTGCCTCTACTATTTTTCTGTTTACCTCCTTTAGTAGTGCCTTTATTCGACAAAAGTGCTATACAAACATTTCTGTTTTTCACTACCTGTAGATTTGCTGTACTCATATAGAGTTTAAATTTGGCGTATAAATTCGGCCCGGCAATATTCGGTTGTCATTAAATGTGTATGTTGTATACCATAATATTTTCTCCTGGTGTTCTAGCGTAATTCCGACATTATCAGCTATGTGAGTTAAAGCTTTACATTATGTTCAAGAACTACTCCCTCATGGCTTTCCCTTTACTGGTTCATGTATACATATCGCTTTAGGTGAACATTACTTTTCGGCTGATAACTGCCATTTTTTCGCTTATGTTTTCTTCATGTTCAAGCAGTGGTGCGTTAAATTGTTTTCATTCTACCTTGGTAGACATTTAAGTTGGCATTGCTGACAGTATAGCTTCAGCTATGCAATTTGCAATGCACTGTTACAAGCTTTTTTAGTTCAAGTAATGTTCGTTCTGGTATTCATGCATAGCATTATCATGGATGTTCCGGTTTTTCTATTTTGTAATTGATTATGTTGAGGTTGTTCAATCAAGTATCAGAATAAAGAAATTTGCATGCATTCCCGTGATGTGTTAATGTTGAGTCATTCCCATATTTTTTAGTCATCTTCCGATTACTCTGTTGTTCTTCGCCTTGGAAGCGATGGATGGTCAGGAATTTCTGGCGGGTTGCTTCAAAATAGTTGCCCAGATGAGAAGTCCCTACATTGTTGTTAAGCACAATTTTTTCATTACTTTTCGATATAAACAATGAAAAGGTCGCACACATTCTACAAGTAAGAGAGGAGTAAATAAAGCACCAGAAACGGTTGAAACTGTTCCTCTACAGTTCTATTCTTGGCCCCACTGGTAATCTAGTGTCGATTGTACTCGTTTACTGAAATGGCCCGAGCAGAATTGTGAGCTTTCTAGAGCTGGAACTCGTTAGTGAGCAATGATCATGTTCCCTTTGAGTCTTAGGCGTTTTCATACAACTGATACGCATAGCGAGCTGCATTATCAATGCACCAGCTTAGCGCCTTCAAAATCCCATAAGAAGAGCA